CAAAACTTGAATAAGGCAGGGTATTCGATCTTACCTACCCTAAGATCAGGGCTGTGGCTTAACAACAGCAGAAAAAAGGAGCCAAAGGAGTAGCAGTAGAAAGGCTGCAGAAAAAGTGGGAGCCCGAAGGAGACGGCAAAGGGGCGAGGGGGTGGGGGCAGAAATGGGTTACGAAAGTAATCGACAGAACATAGAGAGAAGGAAAGGAGGTAAAAGGAAAACATTTTAGAGAGGAATTCTTTCCGTCTCTGTCAGGTTTGGAACCCGGGACCTATTGAGTGATAGGCTAACACCTTAACCTCTACTAGACCACGAGAGCCCCCTGAGCAATCTGTGTTTAGCCTCTACAGTAGAGATAACAAAATATGTGTGTGCCTGGAGAAAGGCCCCAGTTGTCGGAAATGTTGGATATTAATTAAAATAAAGGTGTATTCGTGTAGCAATTTTAATGCTGAACATGCTGATTCTGAAACGTTTTCAATATCTTAAGTAGTTTTAAAGATATGCTACATTTTGTAACACAGGGTGGAAAAACGCAGTTTGGAGGAAAAAAGTACCACCCAATTTTTAGCAGTTTTAAGCAGCAATAATTTTTTTTTTTAAAGTTTGCGCCAGCAATCCTGTGCGGCGGTAAATTTTATATTGAGTACACAACAGCATGTCTTTCCCCCTAATATGACCCTGATCGCACGTAAAATATCAAGTAGTGCTTAATTTTTTTTTACCGAGTGTCTGAGGCATCGTCCAATCGTCCCAGTTTCGTACAATTTTTCAGTTTACACGTCGTATGGCCGATAGATTGTCTAGTTTTTGTACATTTTTATCATTACGTGAATCTCTAGGGTCCATGTGTTCTGGAATCTTTTCATTCTAGGATTACGAAAAATGACTGTTCTTCGCCTTATGTACTTGACGGCAGGCTATAGATATGTTGTTGTTGTTGTTGTTGTTGTTGTTGTTGTTGTTTTCAAATCCCTTTAGCTGCGAGTATTTCGCTCTTGGTAGCGCAATGCCTCCCTCAAGTAAC